AAAAAAAAAAAAAAAAAAAAAAAAAACTACCATTTCGAAATTGGTCAACTACAAATAGACCACCGGTTATTGCTTTGAATTTACTAATTTTTACTATCATGTTAATGTTTGCTTGTACAACCTTACAAAGAGCCTCTATATGTGGTGTACTTACATAGGTAGTCACAAAAGTCATGTAGAGTTGTAATTGTTCAAAAGAGGAGCTCACAAGGAGAATAACACGCTCCTTCAATAGAGGAGAAAACAACACACAACTCACAAAACAAAAACACCACAAAACACCCACAAACACCCACAGGCAGAACCAAACTAAAAACACACAAAAACAACAAAACACTAAAAAAAAACAGCAATAACAACCCAGCCCACCACCATATATTTGTCGGATTCGTAACGATCATATAAGCTCTATTTGTCTCTCTCACGCAACACACACAAACTAACACACACGATCACCTGAATTAAGCTGGTAGTAGGGATTTAACAACGTAAAAATGGCAACCACCGTCGCATCCACCCCGAAGCAGTAGCCGCCGCAGAACGACATGCGGCCTGTGCTGCTTCCCGCCGATCCTGACAATGTGCCACCCCACCGACCCGAAGCCAGCGAAATCACCTCGCGCTACTTGTCCCTCTCGACCTCCTACTCCGCGTCTTCTTCCTCAACATCCACCACCTCGTCTTCCGTGAAAACCGGGCCATCAATTTCCTCCATAATATCTCAGTCCCCAATATTCGGGTGCAGGACCACAACCACCACACCTAGGAGCCTACAACATGTAGTGTCCGCCGAGAGACGCTGGTCGCCAATTTAAAGGTAGTCATCCAATCATCATAAAGGCTTATCTCTGTCGTATGTCTTTGCACCAACATGGTACCTTCTCGGCCTTTGCATTTGCTAACCTCCATTGCAAAAGCCGACTATAGAGTAGCATTAATCCACGTGTTAGTGTTATATACTAAAAGCTTGGCTTTGGATGATTTTACACTTTTACCCTTTATGAATGAGAATCATGTTTGATTAAACAAGTTCTATGTTGTTCTGCACTTAGATAGAAGTGAAAATAGTTATTTTCACCCCATTTTGAAGTCTTGTTAAGTTTTTCACACCGTCTAATAAAAAGCTAAATTTTTCACCACAGGAAGTGCGAAAGGCATTGTGCGATGAATATGCGACAATTGCGCGATGACATTGTGCGAAAGTTAAAAAAGCGAAGGCATTCGCATATCGCTTCACACTTTCTGGGGTAAAAAAAATTAAAGTGCGAAGGCATTGTGCGATGAATATGCGACAGTTATGCAATTGATATGCGACAGTTATGCGACAATTTTTCGCATAACCTTCGCATATGCGACAGTTATGCGACATTTTTCGCATAACCTTCGCACTTTTCGGGGTGAAAAACTTAGTTTTTTATTGGGTGGTGTGAAAAACTTAATGTGTCTTTGTATTGGGGTGAAAAAAAATTCCCTAGATAGAATGGGTCATCATCGGGTGAACATAAGATCATTCTATCAGTTACTTGCGTAACAAGAATTGTGGTTCACAACCAAGATGGAAATGAACTCCCCATTCGAAAGTTGTAGTGTCAACGGTACAGTTGATTTTAACTGATTAGTTGCACTGATACATTTTATGTATTGAACATGATCCCAGAGAGGAGAGGATCGTTTTATACTGATTGTCGTAAACGAACTAGGCCTCAGTTAATTATTGTGTTCTCTTAACCCGTAAGATATTAAACAGACATATATATGCAGTATATATTACTTGGATTCACTTGGGTGAGATTCAGTTCGGTGGACTAATATTCTTACTGTCTTGGTTAAAATTGTTGTATGTATGATGTGCTGTTAGGATATTTACGGTCACCATGTATGTTAGTTTGATGATGTCCCCGAAGTGAGTTCATGAAGAATTATTATGCTAAACCCTGCATGTGCATTAAATTCCGGCATAGTAATAAAGTGATGAACAAGCGCTAGCTTTGGTGAAATAAATAATATATTAATTATTCTTGACTATCAGTAATCGAATTAATTAATGGACAGTATATCTTAAACATGGGAATGTAATTCAGGTAATTATTATTGGAGTCTCAAATGTAATTTAGGCTAAGAAAAGGGAGTGCAATAATATTATGTTAGTGGACTATAATATTATTTAATTAATTGGAGGAGTGGGCCAGAACAACAGTTTGTCCATAACTTAAGAATCCCTATTATATTCTTCTAAGGTCCCTAATGTAGCTCTATATATAAAGCATTAGGCTCATGGAAAAAAAAAAAAAAAAAGAAGAAGAAGAAGAGATCGGAATTTTCCTACGTGTGTAATACATAACACACACTCCTCTTTTGCTCTCTCTCAGTTTTCTATTCGAGCTTTATCTCCTTCTTGTTGTTCCACTAGTACAAGTTGAAGAGGTGTAAAAGTAATACAGTAGAAGATCCCGAAGTAACCGAGACATATATTCATNAACCCCAAAGATCAACAGGAGCCGATGAACCACAACCTGAAGGCCGAGGATCACCGATCCCAGTCCGTCGGACCGCCGTGATCCCACCAGAACTGATGCAAGTGCGATGCGCCACAGCCGACCACCGCGACCCGACTGGCGAACCACCGCACGCGACCCGACACTGATCACCGCCATTCGTTCGATCCGGCCTCCTCGTGTGCCAGTCCCGGTCATCCCGAATCCACCAGATTCAGAAAATTTTAAGTCGTAAGTTTTCTACGTCAAACCTTTAGATCTGTTACGCGTAGGTTTACGTTTGCTATTGAATTCGCAACTTGTACATAACGAGATCCTCATAAATCCCAACAAGTAGTATCAGAGCACTTGGTTAATTCATTTTTGTACAAAGTTCGAATTTATACGAAAAAAAAAAGATATAATATGGCAGCAACAATAATTGATATCACCAACATTTAAGTAAATCGAGGGAAAATTTTCATATTTTATTCTATTGATACCTTACTCCTATCGGATGAATTAAATGAAAATGTACACACAACAATGCAACAAATAACAATCCCTAGCAAGATGTTCAAAACATTAATCAAAATTTCATAAAAACAAAAGCATATGAACCATCAATTGCAGCCAACCAACCTCGGTAATACGTGGATGAACTTCATTCTTTTTCAAGGATGCAGATAAACGCATGCTTGGCAGCATCTTGTTTCGCTAGTTTTTTAGTTGGAAATGCATTTGGGGACGTGCATCCACTCCCACTCGATAGCTAAATCGAACTTGTTTCGCATAACCTTAAATATGCAGCGATCAATTTGGATATACGGTATTTGTATATGCAAAATAAGTTTCGCAAAATTTTGATTTGATAATAATAAATTATGTGAATCGTCAATATGCCAACAAGTTATGCATAATCATTAATTATACGGCGTTATACATTTGGATAACGAATTGAAAACTATGCGAAAACATTTAGCATAAAATATACTATGCGGCGATCAATTCTAATATCTGGTAACTATATATTTACTTTCGCATAATTTTGATTTGGATAATCATAAATAATGCGATTCTAGAATATGCAAACATATTATGCATAATTGTTAATTATACAGCGTTATAGATTTTGTTATACGAGTTGAAACTATGCGATAAATATATTTTATAATTCTAAAATATGCAGCGATCAATTTAGGTATGTGATAAACTAATATGCAAAATTTTATCGCATATGGCAAATTATGCGGTGTGTTTGAATATGTGATTAAATAATATGCGTTAGTGTTTCACGTACTTGTTAACCATGTGGTTTATTTGAATATGCGAGTCGAAAAATATGCGAAAAAATGTCGCATAATGATAAATTTGCGACTACCACTTTAGATGTGATTACTAAATAACGCTAAATAATTTTACACATCACGAATTATGCGATTAATTGGATAAACGATTAGCAAATATTTTTCGCATAATTACTAACTATACACACAATTTGGTTATTCGTTAGTATATATTCGATGAAATCTTGCATAATAGTTAGTTACGCAGTTCACTGGATATACGATTGTTATATCGCATATAATGTTGTGAATTGTGGGATAAAAAAAAAAGTTCTTTTATGCGACTGTGTGTAAAAGAAAGTACATGTAGCTATTGGGTCGTAAATGCTATTTCCGCTTCATTTAATCTATATAGCTTTATGTAAGTTGAAAATGTCTATTATGCCCCCTAATAATCAAATTTGTTTTTTCCAAAATTATCTTCCCATCGTCGTCACCAATCAGTGT